AAAGACATTCCCAGATTCATGAATAACAAGTTCAAACAATTAGAGGACTTGAAGTTAAAGTTTTTCACACTTATTCGTGACATCATCAATAATAAAAAAGAAGCAAATTATTGCCTTAATAAGATGTGGCATGACATATCTTGAAGACATTTATGCTAGAAACACTAATCACTTTTTGAATGTTCATTTGGTTTTGATATCTTAAAGAAAGAAATCCTCAAACTATCCGATCAGAATATAATGAATAATAAAGGGCATTTGGTAACACTTCTATTGACCCAAGTCAAGAGTATTGGATGTTGATAAATAGCAAGAGATAAAGATATTCAAAGTTGGAATATCCAAGCAAGGATAAGACCATTCAAAGTTGAAATCTTTTGGCACCCACTTGGGCATTTCCCAAGATTCAGATCATATCGAGATTACAAGATTTAGATCAAGAAGACATAAAAAAATGAGTTTCTCCTTTTGAAGTGATAGGGGCACGACATATCTGGAAGACATTTTTGCTAGAAACATTGAACATTTCTTGGGTGTCTGTCTAATTTTGAGACCTCGTAAAAGGGGAAGCCCTTGAAGTATTAGAATGAAGACAAGAATGAACAACACTTCTACTTTTCCAAGTTGACATCATACGATAACACGAAGACGAGGCCATTTGAAGTTGAATTACTTGACATTCAAGTAAGATTGGGCCGTGAGATATCTACATTGGGGTATTTCTTAAAGTACATACTATGTTGAGATAGCAATATTTAGATCAAGAAATATTGAAGATGAACTCACCACTTAGAGTGACAAGGGCAGAACATGAAGATGAGAATAATTTATCTTAAGAAACAAACCATTCATGCTTTCAGTTGACAGATGGTCCTGAGAAAAAAAAATTTAATTGAGCACTTGAGTCAGATACAAACAGAGCATCCGACCATAAGCCTAAATGCTACAAGAATTCAAGAGAGAACATTTCTTTTAAGATTCTAACAAAGAAACTAGAAGATAGAAGACAGAAAAGACAAGATTGCATAAGATGATCAGATTGTTCTCCAAAAAATGCAAGATTAAACAGACGAGTTGTCACACTTATATCAAAGAAGAACATATTCAATAAGGGTCATGTGAAGGAAGATTGAGTTCTACACCTTTAAATCCGGAAGAAGATTGATGATACACATTTCTACACACGAGAAAATCATACGTTACATTTTCATGCATTACATTACATTAATATTTTCACATTTAAATGCATAATGTTTACGGTCTTCCAAGGAAAATGAGAAAGAAGAGAAAGTCAGAATTCAAGCCTCAAATATAGGTGATTACATTCAGAAAGTAAGACCTCAAAAATTGAACCCAATTCATAGAACAAACATTTCCAAGCAATATGATCTTTTCAAATGATTTTTTAAATCATTCGGGTCATCAGTAAGTCTTTCAAACATGATGTTTAAATCCTTCGGGTCATCCTTAATTCTTTCGAGTAGGGTGATAAGTTCTTCGGGCCATCTATAAGACCTTTGGGCATGATATTTTCACATGATATCCTTGAAAAAAAAGAAAACAATTTCAAAATAAGAAAATCCTTTGGGTCATTAGTAAGTTTTTCGAGCATGATGATTAAATCCTTCGAATCACTAGTAAGTCTTTCGAGCATGGTGATTAAGTACTTCAGGCAATTCATAAGACTCTCGAGCAAGATGTTTTTGAAATTGAAAAGGTTAAACCTAATGATTGATACAACATTGGCATAACAAAATGAAGCCTTATCAAAGAAATGAAGCAATGAGTTTTCCAGACAAGAGACATTTCAGAAAGTTGGTAAGGATTTGAATCCACGACCTCATATTGAACTAGATGATTTCAGGAAAGATTTAATCACATTTTCACTTTTGAAAGAAATATCAGCAAAGAATTCAAGGCCTTCGAGTCATTATCTTCGGATATTTTAAATTCAATTTTCACTAAAATATGATCACTTTTAACAAATTTAATTCCATCACAGAAGGAGTTGATCAAACATCAACAATCGCTCGATTCCATCATAGAAGGGGTTGATTTTTCAACAACATTTCGTTTGATTCCATTATAGAAGGAGTTGAACAAAAACAACATTTTGATCAATAACATTTTGATCGATTTCATCACATAAGGAGTTGGTCAAACATCAACATTTCCCTCAATTCTATCACATAAAGAGTTAAATCAACAAACATTTCGTTCGATTCTATCACATTCCATCATAGAAGGAGTCGAGTCAACAAGTATTTCGTTCAATTCCATCACAAAAGAAGTTGGGTCAATAAGCATTTTCATTCGATTCCATCACAGAAGGAGTTGAACAACATCAACATTTCTCTTGATTCTATCACAGAAGGACTCGGGTCAACAAACATTTCGCTCGATTCCATAACAGAATGAGTTGGGTTAAAATCAACATTTCGTTCGATTCCATCACAGAATGAGTTAAATTTCATCAACATTTCGCTCTATTCTATCACAGAAGGAGTTGAGTGTTTATCAATATTTCGCTCGATTCCATCACAGAAAGAAATAAGTTGGATCAACATAAACATTTTGCTTGATTCCATAATAGAGGGAGTTGGGTCAACATAAACATTACGCTCGATTCCATAACAGAGGAAGTCGAGTCCACATCAACATTTTGCTCGATTCCATAACAGAGGGAATTGGGTCAACCTCAACATCTCGCTTGATTCCATAACAGAAGGAGTTGGGTCAAAATCAACATTTCGCTCGTTTCCATCGCATAGAGAGTTGAAACAACATCAATATTACTTTTAGTCAAAACAATGAAAAGAAATAAAAATGAATAATAAATAATTGACATATAAATCCTCAGATGTACTAATTAAGGGTAATTACATCTTTGCAATTCAAACATATATGAAATTACGGCAAACCAAGCAAGAGAGAATCAGAAACAGATGAGCAAATCAGTAGATTGAACAAACTAACATTTGTGAGATAGCAGGCAAGTTGTTCAATTGAAAATGGGGCAGATCATTCGATTAAAAGATGAGGAGACAAAGCAATAGAAGATCAAAATTGTAGGTGCCAAAGTTGGAGTCGCGGTCAGATCGGATAAAATTAGGCTATCTTTTGTCTTTTCAACAACGAGAAAAGAGAGGAAACATAAAAACGTGCAATCCTAGTTAAATAATTAAAAAGACAATTTTATCCTGAAAAAGTTAAATTTTATTTTGTTGGGAAACTAAAAAAAGGGTAGAAATGGAAATTTGCCTACTAAAAGTTGTTGATTTTTCAAGGGACAATATAAATGGGATAATTTTAAAACACAAAAAAGATAAATTTAATGAGACAGAGTGAGTATTAATTTTCAAGTCGGGTCGGATCAGATTTTTTACTTTAAACTTGAACCCGAACCAATCCAAAATGATTTTTTTTAAAAAAAATTAACCCGATCAAGTCGGACGGGTTTGATCCCATGCGTATCCCTAAACCTACCTCATGTTTTAGAAAGCATAATTAACTTTTTCTTTTCCTAAAAGCCATAAAAAAAATTAGTGCACTTTTCTTCCTTCAAACAAACAATTAATGAGGAAGTGGATTTAGGGATGTCATGCTCCTGTTTTTTTTTTTCAAAATGTCCCAACTCATTATGCATTCAAAGTCCAATTGATTTTCTTCCCTCACCCATCATACATGCTTTTCGAAATGTTAAACAAAAATCAAAGACCCAATTGAGTTCAACAAATATTAAAATGGAACCCTAATTATAGTGGACTTGAGTTTATGAGCTCACAGATTCTAAAAGCCAAAGCTCCCTCAATGATGCAGTTGCTGGATTTTTTTTTTCACTTCATTGTTTATGATAAATTATCACCAAATGTTTGTACCCTACTAAATTCTTTTGTACTATTCTTTAAAGAATAAAAGAAAAAGGACCATTAAATTTGTCCCATTTTGGTAGATAATATAAAATAAATTACAAAAAGAATTAAAGCTGCTTTTGCCACTTTTCTCTCCAATAACTCAACCCTTCAATAATAATTCAGCAAAATTTGTAAAAGGGACTCAACTTTTACTTTTTTAAATCAACAAACTCACTTTATAAACAATGGATACATATATATATATATATATATATATAAATAGGGTAAATTACACAGGTAGTATCTAAACTATCAATTTTGGCTTGTGTTAGTACCTAAACTTTCAATTTTTTCAATAACATATCAAAAGTTTAGTTTTTGTTTCATTTTAGTAGCCCGCCGTTAAAAATTTTAGTTTTTGTTTCATTTTAGTACATCCGTTCAAAATTTAATATTTAGTTTTAAAAAATTGAAATTTTAGGTACTAAAACGGATCAAAATTGATAGTTTATGTACTAAACTCGTTAAGTGTTTAACAGTGAGATACTAAAATGAAATGAAAACTAAACTTTAGGTATGATTTTGAACAAATTGAAAGTATAAGTACTAAAATAGACCAAAACTGATAGTTTAGATACTAAATGCATAGTTTACCCATATAATGCATGAGTGTTTAAAAAAAATCAAGATATTAAAAATAATGAATGAAATTAATAACCGGTTAATCAAAACGATCAATTGAATTGAACATTTATATTAAAAAAATACTCATAAAAAACAATATTTTAAAAATCATACCAAAAATCAAACTAATAAAACCCTCAATTTCTGATTCAACCCTTAATTTCTGATTCAACGATTTGATCAATTGACTTGTGATTTGATATTAAATTGAAATTCAAAAGTGAAATTTGTGTCGATAAATATATTATAGTGAGAATGATTCAACTAAAATTGTCGGTTGGAGCGTTGAACCTATTGATTTCCCGTCCAATTAAACCGATCACAACAATACTTAATCAATCAATCAGTTCGATTTTAATTCTCAATTCGATCAATCGGTTCAGTTTAAAATTTTAATTCGACCAATCGATTCGGTTTAATTCAACCGATTCGGTTTAATTCGACCAATTCGATTCGGTGTAATTCGACGGTGGGCAAAGGCCATATAAAAGGGAAGTACATAACATGGTTCAAGTTGCATTAAAATTTTCTTCAAATGCATCGTGGAGATACCTACCCATCCAATTTCGATGGTCCCACTTCCCATTATCCAAGAAAAAGGAAAATAAAAGAAAGCGAATCCCTACCACAATTATTTTATGGTCATCCTCCACTCGTATTACAAATTAGAGGAATACATCAATCCACCTTTGGAGTTTTTGTTTTTCCATTTGACATACACCGTGGGATATACCATATACCTTCCAAAAAAGTTGCCGGTGGTTGGAGTTAGAGCCTCGATCGAACCACGGAACAGCTTATCGCGAGTGAGCTAGGAGTGATTTCTACATGCATCATGAAGTTGATTTTGGATCTTCTATGAAGGATTGTTCGATTCGGGCTTGACGATCGTCGGTGCATCCGATTGATGTGCGGGGAAGCTGGCGGACGTCAGTGAGATCGGCACGATGCAGAGCGCCTTGGACTGAAGAAACTGCATGGCGGCTCCGATGTCTTCTTCCATCAGCTTAGCCACTTGCTGTTCGGTGCCATCGTTTGACCATTTTTCCCAGGCAGGCTGGCTTCCATCTCCCTATTCATGGAAAGATAATCGAAAAGGTAAAATCATGGAGAAATAGAAGACTTAGAGAACACGGTAGGTCCGAAAAAGGCGAAAACGACAGCCAACTACTCAATCCGGTTAATAGATCCATAGAAAACGACCCGGGAAAGTGAAATAATGTACACTCACAAATTCCAAAGCAACAAGGAACTTAGGCAACAACAAATGAGATACCTTAACATACAAGTCATTACTTCTTTATCATTTTTTTCATGCATACTTTATGATTTCTTGCCTAATCACAGACACTTGCATCCTTAGTACTTCATATGGCAAGATTCAACAATTAACAATTACGATTATTCTGTACTTTACCTCAACGGATAATAATGGTATATCGGCTACAAGCGGAGTCACGGCACCTGCGGGACCAAGTCTGCTCATGCTGAGAACCTGTTCAAATAGCAAAAATAATCAATCGGTAAGCCGGTTCATGGTCTTTAATTGTTCCAACTAACAATAATGCAGTTCACATTCATTGCTATTCGACGACAACTTATTCAGTGGCCTCGAGATTCCGGGACCAGTCAGTTTAGTTTGACATTGAAACAGAAAGGGATGCCTTAAGGCCTTCAAAGACATCTTGGATTCAGCATAAGGGTCCTACCTGAAGTACTTGCCAAAGACTTTTGCAAGATATTATCAGAACAATTAATTGAAATTAGCTCAAGTACTCTTCCATAGTGATAATGAGGTGTCTTCGTCTCGACTTCCTTTTTCCTTTTTCAAAATTTTCCTTGGCCTTAAAGAAAATGAGAATGCAAAAGCAACGAATTCGATGTTCCGAAAGCAATATTAGAAGATGTCTGCAACTTTATTACCTTTATTAAAATGATTCCTTTCTAAGCATATTGGGAAAGACTAATTTAGCATAAAAGCAAAAAGAAATTTACAGTATGACAAATCTTAGTTAAACAGAGATCGGTATCGAGATTTTAAAGGTTAATTACCTTAACTTGAAGTCTAAGGAACTTCACGTAATCTACAATTTCGTCGAGCATAGCTGCCCTGTCCGTCTGCAGAAGATTCAGCAATGCATCAGCAGATATGGAAAGAAGTCACATTATAACAAGAAATCCTAACCTTGTTGCAGCTAGGAACCAACTCTTGCAAAGCCTTCATTCTTTCGGCGATTCTTTCTCGACGTAGCTGCATTCACCGGAGAAAATAAACGTGGATGGACCGATAGAGGTTCAAAAGATTACCAGAATTGTTTAATGTCAAAACTCATTGCTAAGAAACAACAAACATGGTTTATTAAGACCATATGAAGTGTCCTAAATGAAGAGGAACTAAGCAATTTCTGATAAAGAACTTTTGATAAGAAAAGAGATCGAATTTTACCCGCTCTGCGATACTGTGGGGATCGGTCGCCTGTCCTCGCCTAGCTCGTACCCTAGGACGGGCGGCAGGTGGCTGCGGTGCAGCAGCAACTGGACCCGATGTTGGCTGGCTATGAAATGGCTGCACAAGAATATAACAGATTATGCAATTAAAATGTTCTAAAGTCACGTACAAAACAATTACACTTTAACCTTTGACGTCTCATTATACGATAAAATCGGGGAAACGTTCACGTGAGGCAGCCTTAATATAAGGTTAAAATAAGGCAGTACCGATTTTATTATTGTTTAAATAACAAAACTGGTAAAAAATAACCGGAAACATTATTAGGCGCTAAAAAATACCAATTTTGTTATTATGGATATTTTAATCGGATTTTCGAAAAAATGACCGGAAACATTGTAAAACTGGTAAAAAAATGACCGGAAATAATAATATTACCTGTAATTTTTTACTGATTTTATTATTTAAAGCCTTATTTTAGCTTTATATTAAAGCGACGCATTGTAAAACTGCCCCTAAAATCGAAGACGAGTCCGAAATGAACTTTTGATGCGCTTCTTACACACGCGCTATCTCTCAAACGTTCAAGTCGCGTTTGGGAAATCTATTTCCGACAAAGATCATCACTTGGATGGTGAAAAGGACCGAACAGGTCTATCACCCTTTCATCTTTGTAAAATTGTATAGGATCCGAGATGATAATTGCAGAGTTCCCCACACGTGCACAACACTTTACATCCCGTGCCAGTAATCACTTCCCTTTTACCCCCACCCTCCATTTAAAGAGCGTGAATACACGAATAATAAATGAAAAATAAAAATTAAATCCCCTAGGTTTTCTCTATGTATCAAATATACCCCTGACCTTAATCATGATGAAACCGTACAAAAAAGGTCAAATTTTACAGTACTGCCTTAAAAAGGAAGACAAAACAAAAAGGCACTTCAATCCCAGATTTTCAATTTCTTTTTCGTACTCCTATATGCAACAATATATATAAATATATGAATTAAGATTCACTTATATATATATAAATATATGAATTAAGATTCACTTATATATATATATATATAACAATTGATAAATTTATTAATTTTTTATAGAATTTTAATATTATCTTTTTCATTGTATATAAAGGAAAATGAATGAAAGAGGGTATATCTGAACGGAAAAATAAGTTTTACCTGGTGGAGCTGCTGTGGAGGCTGAGGCGGCGGCGGTGAAGGGCGAATTTGCTGAGCTTGCATTTGTCCAAAAGGTGGAAACAAACTTACCATATGCATAGAATCTCTCTCCTGACACAAAGCAAAGTTACAAAAAGAACACATAATGACTAAAATACCCTTACATTTTCCATAATACTAAACGTATAATTATGAAAAGATTGGAACATTTTTTTAAAAGAAAAATGTCATTTTCCCATGAGTCCAAGTTTGGATTAATTTCCCAGCAGGAAACGGCTGACTTTAAAGAGAGAAAAATAGGTCCAAAGTGAAAACTTTGCTGGTAAAATGTCAGAAACACTTGAAAATGATGTTCCTAGCGTGCCTAATATCATCTTATATTTATGCATAGATTGCTTAAATTCTATCAGATTTTTCTTTTTCAATTCTTCATATGGGTGAAAAAGACAACCCAAAGCTGCAATAATTCATTAGTGATGGACAAAATGAAATCATAAACCCATATTTTGCAACCATCTTTCAAAAGGAAAGGGAAAGTGGAAGGAAGATGAGCAGAAAACATATAAAAATAAAGGGTTTTAATTGATGAAAGAAGAGTGATTGATTTCATACACTGATTCCAGCAACAGCAGAACCAGCTGAACAAGAAGCATTGTTGTTGTTGCTGCTGCTGTTATCAACAACTCCATCTTCATGTCTCAAGAATCCATGTTCCAAATTCAACCCTAAAGGCATCATTCCCATCCCTCTAAATCCTCCACCACCAGTGCCTCCGGTTGCATCACCACCACCTGACCCTAGCTGCAACCCCATAGGTAAGGTAGCATCACCGCCTCCGCCGCCGCCACCACCACCGTATCCCGGTGGTACCGACAGGATCTGCTCGAAGAAATCATCACCTAACCCGGCTTCCTGTTGATTGCCACCCATATCTAAAACACAAAACAAAACAACTCCCCCTTCTCCTTCTCCTTCTCCTTCTCCTTCTTCTTCCCTCTATTACTCCTATATGTATAAATCAAAAGGCGTGTTTTTTTATGTTTTTAGAGAGTGGAAAGAGATTCTAAAACTGGCTGCTTGTGGTAAGTTATGGGGTTATAAGTTGAAGGGGGGTAACCGAGAAATGGGTGGCACTTCCGGAGCCCGAGAATCCGGAAAGAAAATTGTGAATTCCAAGAAGAATTCTCAAGTTATGGACTGCGTTTTCTGAGTTCCAGACACAGCTATTGCGCTCCCAGGTATGGTTTTAAAGGGAAAGAAGTGAGAGCGAAAGAACAATAATAATAATAATAATAATAAACAAGAGAGAGAGAGAGAGAGAGAGAGGCTTTTTAGGCCTTGTCGAATAGAAGAGAGTGGGGGAACAAGCAAACAAACCAAGTATATAAAGAAATCAAATTGGGTGATTATTGCGCTTTGATGAACTTTATATAGATAATATATAACTCCATATATCATACTAAATTAATTAATAATATATTATCTATTCAAAAAATAATAATGTATTGTTCCTCTAAAATAATAATATACTATTCAAAAAGTATAAAATTAAATTTATTAAATTTATATATATATAAATATATGGGTCACCTCCGAAAATTATCAGCAATACTTTTAAAGAAATTTCTTTATTTTCGAAAATTGTCAAATACAAAAGTCTTTTTCGCTTATCAAAACTCCCAAAGAATTCATATCCTTCGGGCACAAAAGTCTCACAACCTTCGAACCAGTTATAGTGCACAGATAAGACCTCTAGCATCCTTACATGACCACCAGAACAAAATTCAAGTCAAGTCAACTTGGTTTATTAGCCTACGAGTAATCATAATTATCTTATACCTATCACCATTAATTAGGGTGTGTTTGATTCACTGAATGTAAGATTACCAGTGAGAATAGGATTACCGACGGGAATAAAATTACTGAGAATATTGTATTTTGTGTTTGGTTTGTTTAGCAGGAATGTAAGATTACAGTGTTTGGTTAAAAGAATAAAAGATTATTAGAATTTATATTTTACCGAATTGTCCTTATTATATATATTTATTTTTTTAACAAGTAGAATTCTACTATAATATTACTATAATTAATTTATATATTTTCTTTAAAAATTTTAGATTCATAAAATTTATATAATTTTTTTTACAAAATTGAAAAGATAAATAGGTTTAATGAAAGGGTAAAATTTAATTTTAACCCTTGAACTTAATATAAAATTCTAATTATAGATTTTTTTTTTGTAAATCTAAAATAGTTTAAGGATAAATTTGTAATTTAATATTCGTAGAATATTTTTTAATCAACGACAGAATAAGGATACTTTTGAAAGAAATTTTTTTTAAGAGCATTTTAGTCCAAAACGTAGGTAATCCAACAATACCTAAGAGAATAGATGTATTAACATTCCCAGTCATATACCCTCAAAATACCACTGTTAGGAAAAAAATATTACCGAAGGTTGGGAATGTTGGCCAACCAAACGGGAGAATGAGATTCCATTCCCGGGATAATGTGAGATTACTCCAACCAAATGCCCCCTTAGGGCCACTACAAAAACCTCTTGAACACTATTGAGAGAATGGCCATCTCCATTTTATTTTATTTTTCACTATTGTCTTCCCTTCATGCTTTCATATTTCTCACAAAGAAGCATCGATCAATGTTCATTATTTTACTAGTTGTGACTTTCTACCCCCAAATAAAAAATAATGAACTATAAATGATTGACGAGATAAACTTATTCTCAATAATAATTGATTTAGTGAGCGTGGACAAATTTCACGAGCAAGAGAATCAGTTGAAAATCGAAACAATCACCTCTTATTTCCTTCCTAAAATCTATCCATTCCGAAAAAGCAAACCACAAGGAGAAGAAAAAAAGAAATGATAGCACGAACGACACCACTTATCATTCTCGCCAAGATTGTTCCTTCCACAAGAGAGCATCTTTGAAAGCGCAAGGAGTCACACCTTAGACAACAACTTCTACTTGAGGGCAACATGAAAAGGCCTGGAAGCTTCTATAGTGGTCATTTACATCGCCTTACAAATGAATAATCATAATACTTAATGACTAACATGTGTTGGTAAGGATACCCCCTCACGCGAGAAACTACTAAGGAATAGCTCTCTTAGGAATCGTTCAAATTACTCTTAGTAAGAAAATCCCTCCTTGAAATGTTATGTGAGGTCATTAATTTGTATTGACAAAAATAGTAAAGGGTTAAATAATAAGTGAGTGGATGATTAGGAACACCAAAATAGATAAAGGAGTAGTATCAAAGATTATGTAAATCATATAAAAACAAAATTTTATATAACATAAAAGTTGGGGATTTAAATTCATAAAAATGATTAGGTCATACTTATCACGATTTTGATATAGAGTATGCTCTTATCTGGCGATTAAAATCGTGAGAAACTCCTAAAGTACTCCTACCCAACTACTTAAGAAAACCTACTCTTAGAAAAAAATAAAATAAAATTAGCTGACCCTATTCACATATATAATGGGGTAAGGGGAGGTAGGGTAGTAGGCTGCCCCCAACGCCAGGTTGAGAGCAGCTTCCGTGGAAGACCTCCGTTATGAATTGTCCTCAGTGGGACTCGATCCCACGACCACAAGGTTAAGAGCCTTGCGCTCTCCGTTAGAATAAAATGTTATGTTTAAATAACTAATACATGTAGGCAATGCGATTTTGATACCTCTGCTTAAGTGTCGAGTTTCTGGGTATGTTTCAATTGTCTTGTGTTGTGTTGCAACAACGTGAGATGCCTTTTTTTGTGCTGTCATGGTGGAGATACCCTCTCCTTTGGCTAAGAGCGTTGAGTTACCTCCATTTTCAGTGTTGAGATGTCTACTCTTTTCTAGACTTAAATATCATTGTCGTCATAATTGAGCAAAAGTGTTGAGATGCCTCCAAACACGGAGATGCTTCAGCCCGTTAATTATAGAACCCTTGAGTTGTCTCTACAGATATAGAACTGTGAGTTGTCTCCAAGGTTGTTGTCTTACCCCCAACTTACGGCTACGGATATAATTAAGGGGTTGAGATGCCTCCATTTTGGTGCCGAGATACCTTTGTCATTTAAGCATTGGAAATCCTCCACGGGGTATATATGGTGGCATAGAGGTAACTCCATCAGAATCTAAAAAATATAATACGAGTCTATAAGGATGTAGAGATCTTCCATAAAATAAGTGTCCACACACATCAGTCCACTTAAATAATTAAAGATCCACAAATAAATACAAGATTTAAAAACTCACTCAAACAACAAGGCGTGAAAATAAAAGCTAGACAGATTGACGTAGAAAAATCGAAAATGGCGAAGTATAAAAAAGGGGGACAGAATTTTACTAAGTTAAAAAAATGTACAAAATGTAACACCCTAGACTTGACTGGGCTTAAAGTGTCACATTGGGCTATCGAGGTAAACTCTGATTTTTAAAATCTGTTTGTTCTTCTTTAAAAATATACTCAATGGTATCATAATTAAAAGCATACATAACTGATATAAAAATATTTTATAAAACAGAGCTCCATGACACATAGTTTAAAACAAAATGTTACATATTGAGATTTACAACTCAAATACATAAATAAGGTTCTATGAATACACATGCCCACTAAAGCTACAGTACAATACTCTGAAGGAGATGTTGGAAGTCCCACTACGACAGTGCTCCACGAATTGTTCCATTTACTAACCTGCCAATGGAAAACATATGAAGGCAAAGCTTACAAAGCCTACCAATATAATCACTAATTTAGAGCAGTATTAAGAGTTTCATAAGCATAAGCGTGCTAAAGATTAGATATTAAGCAGTAACCACACACACGATCTTGATCAAGTGCTACCTACTTAAAGTTTAACTTTGCCACTAAAATAGGGTCTCACGCTTCCCTTAGTCCTCGGACAACCTTAGTCCTCGGACAAGGGCCTTCCCATGAGCACGCCTCTATCAGGTCTCTACCCAGACTGAATGCAACTGCTTTGCATTATCTAAATGCAACTCTAACTCGACTATGTACTATCTATATTCCATGTTGACTAGTATATGGTTTTACAAATCCATCATACATTAGCGACTGAGAATATCCCCTCTGGTTAACCCACCCATCGCCAGTGTTAGGCCTCATGGCCAAATTAACCGTCGAAGTGCCTCGCGCACTTATTGTGGTGTATCCAGGTAAGGACATCACACCTGTCAACCCACCCCTCGTGAGTTTTAAGGCCTTGGTCATAGTCAGCCATAAAAGTGCCTCGCACACACATGCTTCAACTGTTTTCATATATCCAATACCACTAGACGATTATCACCGCAAGAACAAGATTCATATGACTATACATTCATACCTAAGGCCCATGGCTACATGATACTGACATCGTTAACTGACTCTTCATGAGTGTTCGAGCCTCGTGCCCTCATTAGCTCCTAAAGTGCCTCGTGCATTGACAATGCCCATTAAGGCAACTAAGGTAACATGGATACCCTAACATAATTGGACTCACTAAAGTAAGGATATCCTCTCACTACATACTATCTTGCTCGTTCTCTATCTAGAATATTATGCGAAGGCTTATTGGTTCAGTACTACTGTTACTTACTGCGTTGCTCCTCTTTAGTCTCTCGTTACTAAAGGGTAATTTACTCATTCTCTGCCTCTAGCGAAGTCTCTACGCGTTCTCGGGGTTTACGAATAATTCTGAGGTTGTTGTTCATTGAATTTATTATCATTTCAAAACCCCTCAAATTGAAAATACAGCTTACACCTCCTAGGTTCACTGACATTCTAGAATTCCACGCTTTTCACTATTTCTGAATCTCATTTATTCCTTGTACCACTTTTCAGTATATCATCCACAATAATCATCATCCTTAATAATTCGTATACTTTATCGTCTAAAGATACTTAGGCGTATAT